ACAGACGGAGAGAAACACACCGACGGAGAGAAACACACAGGCGAGAGAAACACACAGATGGAGAGAAACACCGATGGAGAGAAACACACAGGTGGAGAGAAACACACAGGTGGAGAGAAACACACAGGTGGAGAGAAACACACAGGGGGAGAGAAACACACAGGTGGAGAGAAACACACAGGTGGAGAGAAACACACAGGTGGAGAGAAACACACAGGGGGAGAGAAACACACAGGGGGAGAGAAACACACAGGTGGAGAGAAACACACAGACGGAGAGAAACACACAGACGGAGAGAAACACACCGACGGAGAGAAACACACAGGCGAGAGAAACACACAGACGGAGAGAAACACACCGATGGAGAGAAACACACAGGTGGAGAGAAACACACAGGTGGAGAGAAACACACAGGTGGAGAGAAACACACAGGGGGAGAGAAACACACAGGTGGAGAGAAACACACAGGTGGAGAGAAACACACAGGTGGAGAGAAACACACAGGGGGAGAGAAACACACAGGTGGAGAGAAACACACAGGTGGAGAGAAACACACAGGTGGAGAGAAACACACAGGGGGAGAGAAACACACAGGTGGAGAGAAACACACAGGTGGAGAGAAACACACAGGGGGAGAGAAACACACAGGTGGAGAGAAACACACAGGTGGAGAGAAACACACAGGTGGAGAGAAACACACAGGGGGAGAGAAACACACAGGGGGAGAGAAACACACAGGGGGAGAGAAACACACAGGTGGAGAGAAACACACAGACGGAGAGAAACACACAGACGGAGAGAAACACACCGACGGAGAGAAACACACAGGCTAGAGAAACACACAGGTGGAGAGAAACACACAGGGGGAGAGAAACACACAGGGGGAGAGAAACACACAGACGGAGAGAAACACACAGACGGAGAGAAACACACCGACGGAGAGAAACACACAGGCGAGAGAAACACACAGGCGAGAGAAACACACAGACGATCCCGAATGAGGAGTGACGTGGAACGCAAAGCCTTTCCAAGTCGCGAGCCTTTCCCAGGCGAGGGTGCTGCCAATCGGGCACTTTCTTCTTCCGTATGGCGGATGCAGATGCAGAGCAACAGCTACAGATGGTCAAGCCAGATAACCGCCGAAGGAGCAAGCGGAGTTGTGTATCATCGCTGATGTCTCCTCTGTATTTGTGGATCGGGCATTGGGTTGTTATAAGTTGTATGGACTGTTCTGGATGATCACAGTCGCCTAATACTCGAGTTTTTAATTTTCCATTCGTGCATCAGGTTTTCGCATCTGCAGCCATGGTTTGTGCGGATGCGATTTAGGGTGAACCATGAGCTTCGTGGAAGATTAAATCCAGGGATCTTCTGCGTTGGGACTTTCACAACAAGGAGTTATTTTGAACTCCACTCAACTCCTCCAGCTTCATGGGGGTTGAATTTGCATTCAGGTGAAGTGAAAGGTCTTTGCGTGACTTCAAGCGATAACGAGGGACGTTGTTGAGGTCCCAGTGAATGAAAAGGCGACTGGTTTCCTCGACTCGCAGGACTTCCTGGAGGGTTGCAGCGTTGGCGGCGGATGGGTGGAGGGCGAGCAGCGTGTTGGAGTCGACTTGAGGGTTCCGCTGATGCACCGCGTCGTGTGTGTGATCCCGTTTGAGTCGTTTGCGGGTAATTTATCAGCAGTGTGATGCCTTGACCAATAGCAGTTCCACTGTGTATGTGGGTTTAGCTCTGGAAGAAAGCCGGAGAACGCAGAGGAAGCTCACGCAGAATGGGGGGAGAGAAGACAAACTCCACACTGACACTCCCACACACTTCACACTGACACTCCCACACACTTCACACTCCCACACACTCCACACTCCCACACACTCACACACACTCCTCACTGACACTCACACACACTCCCACACACTCACACACACTTCACACTCACACACTCCCACACACTCACACACACTCCCCACACACTCCACACACTCCCCACACACTCTGACACTCCACACTGACACTCCCACACACTTCACACTCCCACACACTCACACACACTCCTCACTGACACTCACACACACTCCCCACACACTCACACACACTCCCACACACTCACACACACTCACACACACTCACACACTCCACACTGACACTCCCACACACTCACACACACTCCTCACTGAAACACACTCACACACTCACACACACTCCACACTGACACTCCCACACACTTCACACTCCCACACACTCACACACTTCACACTCCCACACACACACTCCTCACTGACACTCTCACACACTCCCACACACTCCCACACACTCACACACACTCCTCACTGACACTCACACACACTCCCACACACTCACACACACTCCACACTGACACTCCCACACACTCCACACTGACACTCCCACACACTTCACACTCCCACACACTCCCACACACTCCTCACTGACACTCCCACACACTTCACACTCCCACACACTCCCACACACTCCACACTTCCACACACTCCTCATTGACACTCACACACACTCCACACACACTCACGCACTCACACACACTCACGCACTCCTCACTGACACTCACACACACTCCACACTCCCACACACTCCCACACACTCCACACTCCCACACACTCACACACACTCCTCACTGACACTCACACACACTCCCACACACTCACACACACACTCACACACTCCACACTGACACTCCCACACACTCACACACACTCACACACACTCACACACTCCACACTGACACTCCCACACACTCACACACACACTCACACACTCCACACTGACACTCCCACACACTCCACACACTCCTCACTGACACTCCCACACACTCCACACACTCCTCACTGACACTCACACACACTCCCACACACTCACACACACTCCTCACTGACACTCACACACACTCCCACACCCTCACACACACACTCACACACTTCACACTGACACTCCCACACACTCCACACACTCCTCACTGACACTCACACACACTCCCACACACTCACACACACTCCTCACTGACACTCACACACACTCCCACACACTCACACACACTCCTCACTGACACTCACACACACTCCCACACTCCACACTGACACTCCCACACACTCACACACTCACACACACCCACACACTCCCCACACACTCACACACTCCACGCAGAAAGGCTCCCGAGGCGGGAATCAAACCCATGCGAGGCAACGAGCATCGTCACCACTGCGCCGCCTTTCCCCGTGCTCCCCTAGGGTTCACAATCAGACTGCCGGTATCTTTATTTATACTGCAGGAGGAATCCGATGAGATATAAAGCTCTTTTTCACAGATGTCCAGTGTTTGGAAGAGCGAGCTGATGAGAGGCGCTGGTGGGGGGGGGGGGTGCGGAGCGGTCGGTTTGTGAGGTGACCGAGGGAGGGGACAGGGGTGGGGGTCACGGGGGTCAGGGAGGTCACGGGGGGTCACGGGGGTCAGGGAGGTCACGGGGGTCAGGGAGGTCAGGGAGGGCGGTGATGCGCCACTCCTCCCCTGCCCGCCCAGCCGCGTCGCTGTCGAACCGGAATTTCCCGCCGCTGCTGCTGCAGCTGCAGCTGGAGCTGCTGCAGTAGCAGCTGCAGCTGGAGCCGGTTGTGCCGGTCGTGGTGCGAAACTGACCGCAGACAATGGACACGTTCGCTCCCGCGCCTGCGGGGGAAGGGGGGAGCGGTGGTGCAGTGGTTAGCGCTGCGTTGTTCGATTCCCGCTCTCGACCAACCTTTCTTTCGTGTGGCTGAGGTCGATGCAGATCAACAACTAAACTTTCACATTCTGGTGGTCAGGCCCAGATTGAGTTTATCGCTTTGATGTCTCCTTCATATTCGTGGATCTCGACCAATAACAGTGGCGAATATTTGGACCAGTCCTGGGCCCCCCTTAAACGAGTATCTGATGTGATGTGTAAACATAAACACTGGGCGTGGTGATGGTTGTCCACCCCCTCGTGTGCTCTGCCAGCCTTCAGAAGTGCTTGCTAACAGCACTTGCCCCAACAGTCTGTACAGGTTATACGGGGGATCTTTGTCTATATACCAGGGGGTGGAGTGATCGTGCAGCAGTGAGTACACTACACCATGAACCGATCGATTTCAGTTGGATTCCCGGCCACGGCTCTCACATCGGTGGTGAATGGGGCGGCTTCATGCCAGTCGACAGACCACCAAATCACTCCGCACCCGGCACACCACGTCCAGTATAGAGCAGCATCTCTATGGCTGTGACTGCTCGTCACCGGTCAACTCCAGTTCACCAGCGGCGGCCATCCAAGTCCCGGCGGCGAGTGCGCCCCAAAACCCCTCCCCCTACACTCCTCCTGAACCAACCCGCATGGACCAGCGTGGTGAAGTATGGTCAAACAGCCCCCCTACGATGACACGGCGTGGGGAGGCCTTCATCCAGCAGCGGATTGACAAGGGGGCTGTACGGATCGTTGTGAGTGCTGTTGCGTGTGCTGTGATCAGGAGGTGTGAGTGAATTTTCAGTGTCTGGGCTGCACCACGGCTCATCGTCAGGCTGTACTTTACTGAGTGGAGCAAGGGGGTAACGCACATCAGAATAACGCGCAGGGGACAATCGTTATGTAGGATAAATCTTTGTGAGTTGGTGGACTGAACACACAACACACACACCACGCACACACATAGAATATATACAGACAAATACATTCACCCGACACACACCATACCAATCACAAACATACATCCAATATACATACACCCAACCCCCACCCAACCCCCACCCAACACATGCGTGATAATGACAAAGACACGCAGAGCTTACAGACACCAATCACAAATACACCCAACATACACCCAGCAAAGACAACGATGCCCTCATAGCCTTAACAGGCTTTTGGGGCAAGTGCTGTTGGCGAGCACCTATGCAGGCCGACACGGCACACGAAGGGTGGGTGGGTGGCTTTCCAAGAGACAGGACGACTCGGAAAGAGAGAGTGAGAATAAACTTTTTATTTCACCAGATAAGCTCTTTTTCAGAAGCGACCTGGTACAAAAATTATAACTCTACAAAGTGTTTTATCATGTGGAAATGTATAGCAGCAAAATACTCTAAACACATGTCTTTAAATATGGAGGGAAAAGCCGGAGGACTCGGAGAAAAATCCATGCGACCACGGGGAGAAAGACGCGCAAACTCCAAATATACAGCAGGCGTCAGGGTCAGGATCGCACCCACGACCTTCCGCATATCAGGCGAGGTAGTTAACAGACATCAGGAGGAGGAACCAGAGACGAGATGCGGGAAGGCAGCAATAGCAACACGGTGGCGAGGAGTCGGCGCCACTCGACTTGCATCCACCACTCCGCGTCATCGCCGTGACTGCCCCAGGGCCACCCCTGCCCTGGCGAGGCCCCTCACGGTCTCGTCTGCGGTACTGTGGCCTGGCGGCTCGGCTTAGTAAGGTGGGTGGGTGGCTCACATCAATCGGAAGGTTGGAAGTTCAAATCTTGGTTGGGGGGTTGACTCGGCCCATCATCACCGCAGCAGGATGGATAAAAATCAGTACCACATAGTGGGAAAGTCAACAACAGTTGTCCTATGGATAGACTCATCCCCGCCGTAGCAATGTGGAATTTCCCCCACTGGCAAGGGCTCCGCAGGGCCATTCACAGGAGATGGTCACCGATGCCTCAGTGCTGCTAGTTGGAGAAGGAAATCACTCTGCTTCTTGTTGTCGTATCCACATTGCACCGTACCATTGCACCAGTCCACCACCGCCGCCGCCGCTCAGGAGCAGGCGCAGGGTGCGCCCCGCCGGCCCCGGCACTTCTCCACATCGTCCAGGGGAACCGTGCCGCACCAATCCCGGCGTCGCGGCGCCAGCATCTCGAAGACTCCCTCAAACGCCTCGTCCACGCCGCGCCCGCTCTTGGCGCTCGCCTCGAAGCAGGCTCGCTCGACCGCGGGCGGTGACCGCCGAGCACCGGCAGCACCGGCGCTCCCCGCCACGGTGTCGCGGTAGCGAAGGACGCGGCCGTAGAAATCGCGAGCCTCCTCCGCGCTCACTTGCCGCAGACGACGGCGCTCCTCCTCCGGCGCCAGCGCTCCGGGGCTCCCGTCGCTCTGCAGGGTCAGGGACGGCGGCGGCGGCGGCGGCAGAAGGTCGGCCTTGTTGCCGACGAGAGCGAAGATGCAGCCGGCGTCGGCAGAGTCGGTGAGGCCAAGGAAGCGCTCCTCGAGCGCGGCGAAGGTGGCGCGGCTCGTCACGTCGTACACCAGCAGCACCGCGCGCGCCCCGCGGCAGAACATGGAGCCCAGTCCGTGGAACCGCTCCTTGCCTGCGAGGTCGCAGTGGGAGCGCGGTCGGGATGAGGTCACAATGGGGGTAGAGTGGGGGCAGAGCGGGGGCAGATCGGGGTCAGGGCGGGGTCAGGGCGGGGTCAGGGCAGGGTCACGGCGGGGTCAGGGCGGGGTCAGGGCAGGGTCACGGCGGGGAGCAGGAGGTGCAGGTTCAGCGAGGTTCTGGAGATCACACTGCACAGGCCCTGGGTGTGTCCATGCAGAACAGCGGGAGAATAAAGTCCACACAGAGAGGGAGTCGGGAACAAACCCCAGGCGATTGTTGCGCAACAGGCAGTTGTTTTGCCCGCCTCTCCTTCTCTCCGACACTCGGCCAAACACGCACTGCACTGTGTCCACTCACCGTGCTCGCTGCCCCGGGCCCGTGACGTGGCGGCAGCCGAGCAAAACTGAAACCCGCTGATCCCTCTGTCTGGGCCACAGAGGCTGCTGCTGCTGCTGCCGGTGGGGGTGGAAGTGGGAGGGAGGGGGTTGCAGTCGCAGCAGCGGCAGGAATGCCGGACTGGGGTCAGTCCTCGCAATGCGAGGAATCTCACGCAGAGGTGCAATCGGCCCTGCCCCCCTCGCCCGTGGCCGTCCAAAAATAAACAAAATAAATTCAAATCCAAACGAGCTTCTGGGAGGTGGTCGTCTCATCTCACCCCTGCCGGCCGTTTTCTTAAAGAGGTTAAAATTCCACATTCCCATGGCGGTGGAGAGTCTCTGCATAGGAAAGCCATTGCTGACTTCCCACAGGGTTCTCAACCCTGGGAGGACGGGGTCGTCAGCCTTTGAGCGGAATTGAAACTCGTGCATAGGCATGCCTTTCTTCAGAGCCACACACCATATATACTCGGATGTGTGGCTCCGAGACAAATCTCGGCTCAAGCCGCTTGGCGCCCGGGTGGCCGGTGGTGCAGAGGTCAGAGGACGAATCCAGGTTTTGGCCACTGCCCGTCATTAAACCGGATTCTCAAGTATAGCAACACATTGATGGTGTCAGCCTGGTTACCAGTGACTCGCATCGAGACCCATGGACCCACATAGAGACCCATGGACCCACATAGAGACCCATGGACCCACATAGAGACCCATGGACCCACATAGAGACCCATGGACCCACATAGAGACCCATGGACCCACATAGAGACCCACAGACCCACAAAGAGACCTTTCGACTCATCGAGACCCATACGCGCACACAGAGGAGGCCCATAGGCTTACATTGAGACATATCGACACAATGACTTGAGTTATTATTGCACCGGGTTCTCAAGTGTGGTCACGAGCTGATTATCCCAGCCCACTCACCGATGACTCACCACATTACATTGGGGTCCGCATTTCATTTGGCTCTGAGAATTAACATATCAGGGTTGACTCACACGACGGAGCGGGTGGGAAAGAACTGCCCCATACTGTGGGACAGAGACCACTGAGAAGAGATCTCGAAGGTAGCTCTATGACATATTTTTCTGCGGGCCGTTCTCTAACATGACGCAACGCTGACAGCACAATCAGAATCCTATTGGGGGAGGGGAGGGAAACTCCACCGGCAGACCGAGGAGGAGGAGACGCTCCTCAAAGACAAAGATCCCCCGTATCGCCTGAACAGACTGTGGGGGCAAGTGCTGTTCGCAAGCACGAGGGGGTGGGTGGCCAGCCCCACGCGAAGCCGCCATTGTCTCTCCAGTGGCGATGTTTGTTACACACCGCACTAGGGACTCATTTGAGGATGAGCCGACGTAGGGGAGGACCAGGACCGGTTCAGATAATCATCAATGGTGTTGGCCGTGAGCGGGAATCGAACTCGGTTCGCGGGTTCGTAGCGCTAACCACTACGCTCCCCGTCCCCCCACCCACCGGTGCCCCCACCGCAGGTGACGCACCTGCCGTGTCCCACAGGGCCACCGTGTGCCCGGCCCACTCCCGCATGACGAAGGTGCCCCCCACGGTGCTGACGGTGTCCTCGAAGCGGCGCTCCGTGTAGCGCCGCAGCAGCGACGTCTTCCCCACGCTGACGTCTCCCAGGAGGACCACCTTGAAGTCGGGCCGGTTGCACATCGCCGAGAAGTGCCCTCCGAGTGGCAGCTGTGGGCGAGCGACGGAGGATGACGAAGAGGGCACCGCCTCGGCCCCGGGACCCTGCCTCGGCTGAGCCCGACTCACCCCGAGGAGAGCGCGAACTCACGACCCAACCCGCGACTCACCCACCCACCCTCGCCCCGCGCCACTCGCCGTTATCCCGTCACCAGCACGCCGACCACAGACGCAGAGTCACCGGACCCGACACGCGCTCCTCACGAGGTCGGCTCTCACTTAGCCCGAGCGGCGGGAGCAGATCTCCAAACCCCTGGTTCAGCGAGAGCTGCCCCGGCTGCCCTGTGACGCACCCCGGTAGACGCCGCACAACGCCCGATGCTCGCCACGTCAATCAACTGGAGGCGAGAAGTGACCCCGCGGGAGTGAACAGCCCCGGCAGCAGGCGACCCTCCTCCTAGGGGTCTCCTCGACACCACCCCCACCACCCCCACCCCGACCCCCACCACCCCAACCACCCCCACCACTAACCCTACCTCCACCACCACGCCCACCACCCCCCCCTCCACCACCCCCACCACCAACCCACCACCACCCCCACCACCACCACCGCCCCCACCAACACCACCCCCACCACCACTCCCACCCCCAACACCCCCACCACCCCCACCCCCACCACCCCTACCACTCCCACCCCGACCCCCACCACCCAAACCACCACCCCAACCACCACCCCCCAACCACCCCCACCACCAACCCTACCTCCACCCCCACCACCACGCCCACCACCACCACCGCCCCCCACCACCAACCCCACCTCCACCACCACCCCCACCACCACCACCGCCCCCACCAACACCACCCCCACCCCCACCACCACTCCCACCACCACCCCCACCACCCCCACCGCTGTGGCGTGCGGGCCAAGGAGTTTGGTGGCAGCAGCGGCGAGAGGAGCGCTCCCGGAGCGGCGGCGTCACCGGCCGAGTGGGCGCGGAGAGGACGGAGAGCGGGGATTGAACAGTAGCTCTTCCGTGCCCTCTTCCGCGTGCCTCAACCACCTATCCGCCCACTAAGCCTCACTCCTATTCACCCCCACCCAGCTCGTACCAACACAGCCGCCAGTCGCCACTTAATGACGGTGACGTCACCACGGTGCTTGTGCCAGGCGAGGTGCACTTTGAGGCCACGTCAAGTGTCAAAAACTCGCTGACAGTTTCAGTTTCATGTATTTGGTATCGCCCTGTGAGCCATTCGGCTCTTGAATCGGGTGCAACTGCAACAAACAAAAAACTAAAACATGAACAAGAAAACATCTTAAAGTGACTATGTGACTATGCGCAAGCAGAAAAATCCAGGAAAAAACTACAAAGTCTTCCAGAAAAAAAGCAGGGTACACCAACGCTGTGCAAAAATCCCAGTGGGATGCAAGTCAAACAACAACAACCACAAGACAACTTAGATTAAAGCCATCATTCTAACTCCGTACTACAACAAACAAACATGGCCAAAACAAAAAACGTTTCTAAATCACCAAAATAAAGCCATAAGCAATGTAACAGTGATCATAGGAACTGTGACCGAAATTTCACAATAAACGACATAACAACATGTACCACCAAACACTGCAGCCATAGCTGGCTGCACGAGTCACTCTCCACAACAGCAGGAGCATCAGTAGGAGTATAAAAATGTTTCAATGCACCTTTAAAGATCAGCACACTAAATCAAAACACAAGATCATACGTTGTAGCGGTCATCCGGAACGAAAACATTTGATTTTAGGCCACTGAATAGCAGTGTCAGCTAGGGGTGTACAACTCCTCTAGAGCGGTTTTGAGTGAAGATCTTATAGGTAGTGATTCAAGTTGCAATTTATTGCCAATTGCATTCCAGACCTTGGGGGGCCTCAATAGCAAAGGCCCTTCCTCCAGGTCTCGGGACAGACCCAGGTGCCATGGGTTAGCTGACTGATATGCACACCAGCTGTATCCCCTACTGTGACAACTTCCTGACTTGTATTCGCCTGGCGCTCCGCTCATTGTTGTGAGCGTCGCTCCTCTGCCCTCCGTTATTGCTGGAGGGCGACTTCCTCCAATTTCCCAGTAGCAGCGTCCTTCACGAGCCTCCTCCACAGAGGTCGATCCTGACACCGCTGGTATCAGTCGTCGGCAAGTTCACTCAGCTCCACATCCTCCCGTACCGCATCAGCGCCATCTCTTCTCCAGCCCATGTCGTGCACGTTGAGGCCCCTCTATGCGGCCAAACAGAAGCTGCTTGGGCATGCGGTGGCTGGGCATGCGGGCTACATGACCCACCAACGCAGCCGTGCCTGCCGGAGGAGCTCACTGATGGGAATGTGTCCAGATATTTTAAGGATTTGTGAGCTCGCACAATTCAGCCTGATTAAGCCCAGGATAGATCGTAGGCATGCCAGCCTGAATGTTTCTAACCGGCGCAGATGTTCCATTAGGGGGGGTCCACATTTCACAAGCATTGGAAGGCACGACCGTGGCCCCACTCCAGCCTCGCCCCTATTCACCGCCACCCAACCTCACCACGACACAATATCACTCGCATTCGGCATCACTCCTAAACCGCCCTTACGCCTATCCTATATCCTATAGTCATTCTGTGGGTTTACTGGTGAGGGCATGGGTTTGCCGGTGGGGTAAAGTGTGGTTTACTCCCAGCGTAGTAGAGTCAGGCAGAAAATACCATTGTGGAGGAGCTCTCCCGGGCTCCCAGTCGAGTGGACGAGGAGGAGGCCCCTCCGCAGCAGTGGCGTGAACAGCCACTGCAGGGCTGCTCCTCTACCAACCCCCACCTCACCGCCTCATTCCCCTCCCCCACCCCGTCTCCCCCCACCCCCACCCCGTCTCCCCCCACCCCCACCCCGTTCTCCCCTCACCCCACCTCGTCTCCCCCACCCCCACCCCGTTCTCCCACCCCCACCCCGTCTCCCCCCCACCCCGTTCTCCCCCACCACCCCACCCCGTTCTCCCCCCACCCCACCCCGTTCTCCCCCACCCCCACCCCGTTCCCCCACACCCCGTTCTCCCCCCCGTTCTCACACCCCCACCCCGTTCTCTCCACCCCACCCCCGTCTCCCCCACCCCCACCCCGTTCCCCCACCCCCACCCCGTCTCCCCCCCCACCCCGTCTCCCCCCACCCCCACCCCGTTCTCCCCACCCCCACCCCGTCTCCCCCACCCCACCCCGTTCTCCCCACCCCGTTCCACCCCCACCCCGTTCTCCCTCCACCCCCACCCCGTTCTCCCCACCCCCACCCGTCTCCCCCCCACCCACCCCGTTCTCCCCCCACCCCCACCCGTTCTCCCCACCCCCACCCCGTCTCCCCCACCCCCACCCCGTCCCCCACCCCCACCCCGTTCTCCCCACCCCCACCCCGTTCTCCCCACCCCCCCCGTTCTCCCCCCACCCACCCCGTTCTCCCCCCACCCCCACCCCGTCCCCCCCACCCACCCGTTCTCCCCCACCCCCACCCGTCTCCCCACCCCCACCCCCGTTCTCCCTCCCCCCCACCCCGTTCCCCCCACCCCCACCCCGTTCTCCCCCCACCCCCACCCGTCTCCTCCCAACCCCACCCCGTTCTCCCCCCACCCCCACCCCGTTCTCCCCCCACCCCCACCCCGTTCTCCCCACCCCCACCCCGTCTCCCCCACCCCCACCCCGTTCCCCCTCCACCCCCACCCCGTTCCCCCCACCCCCACCCCGTTCTCCCCCCACCCCACCCCGTCTCCCCCCCCCCCACCCCGTTCTCCCCCACCCCCACCCCGTCTTCCCCCCACCCCACCCCGTTCTCCCCCCACCCCACCCCGTCTCCTCCCACCCCCACCCCGTTCTCCCCCCACCCCCACCCCGTTCTCCCCCCACCCCCACCCCGTTCTCCCCCCACCCCCACCCCGTCTCCCCCCACCCCCACCACCGTTCTCCCCACCCCCACCCCGTCTCCTCCCACCCCACCCCGTTCTCCCCCCACCCCCACCCCGTTCTCCCCCCACCCCCACCCCCGTCTCCCCCCACCCCCACTCTCACCTGAAGACGGACGCTTGTGTTGCGATCGAAACGTCGTGGTGGATTATTTGTTCTACCCACGTGACTTTACCGAAAGAACCAAAGAGCATGGATTCCTGCGGTCACGAAGGCTTCAAGTGGAGCAGGGACCATCATGCAAACTCCGCGCATCGTCGCAGCGGCGGCTTTTGGCTGACCATCAAACAAAGATGGCCACCGCATCGCGCGCTTTCAGATGCGCTTCTGCCGCCATACCGGGAAGCCACTGCAAGCGATGCACTTTGAAATCTAGATTTTAAACTAATTTCTTTAGAACTGCTTTTGTGCTTAGTTTGTTGTCCTTCCCCCGCACCTCCGATTAGTATGATTGGCTATGTACGGTGTGAAAGAAGTTGAACATACATTGTGGCCGTCTCTTACCGTCACAGCCACGCATACTACGGTATCTTACACCTGCCCTTGGTCACGGTGACATCCGAACATGCAGCCCACATGGGGCCCCGGGGGCAGGTGTCGGGCGAGTCCAACCACACCTCACAGCCACGAAACTGCAACACCTGGCAAGCAGTAGTGGTGGTGGTCACCCATGCCAAGTACTAACCAAGCTCAACCCCCTTTAGTTTTTGAGATCTGATGAGGTCAGGTATATTTAAGGGTGATACCATCTTGGGCGTGAAAGTGGTGCGTTTGTGAATAGACCACAAAAAGGATCCCACGGATGAAACTGCTCGACGCATGCGTTGATACTTTGCGTGCGTTGATACTTCGCATGCGTTGATACTTCGCCTTTGTGCTGTTCGCCTTTTGGCATTCTCTCGTCTAACACCGGCAAGACAAGGCCAGGAAGGAGGCTGTCTCTGGTTGTAGGTCAATCAGTTTCAAGGACAATGCGTACATCACAATCAAATCATTTTTGCTGTTTTACCACAATCGTGTGTGGTTGATGCAGACTTGATGTCTTGTGTTAGGTGTCCGTTTGGTGTTTGAACATCTTAAAATCTGTGTATTCTTGCCGAACAGGGTAAAGCCTATTCTTTTTTTCATTAAGGATAAATATATATTTTAAGTCTACCATACTTTTAATTGTGCCATGTGTTGCTGGTCAATTGGCCACTTCGGCATTTGGGCCTGGGCTCCGCAACGACGATGAAACAAAAAAAGAAAATTGAACCATCGGAAGGAGGACGAGAGAAACCCCTCCGTTGCCTGGTCGAAGAGGAACTTTTGACGAAACTATAACTTCCGTGCTTCTTGCAGTCTTTTACTTTGTGTGCCGTCTGATCGCATTCGATACATTTCCCCCACAATACCGACCTGCCAATTGCCTAACTGTGGTGGAACCATTCAAACTTTCCCATCGTGTCATCTGCCGCACCAAAAGCTCAAACTGGTGACCTCTCGTGCAAGTCCCGCGTGTAGTCCAAGTCCAGGAACTCGATGTAGTAGAAGCCCCCCCCCCCCCGCCAATCTGCATCCCCCGCCCCCCACTCAATGGGAAGAGGCCTCGAGTGATTAACACAAAACCACTCCCCGTTTCGCCCAACCTCACGGATCGACCAACATGGAAACGAACCCCTGAGAAATGGATGAGCCCAGGGTCACATGGCGAAGTGATGCAGGCCCCTAACTGCTCACGGCCGGTTGGTGGAGCAATTCATCTCCTCTGTCTCCCTGCAACCTGGCGTCAGCCTCTGATGTCCACACCCCGCGCGGGGTCCTCACACGGCTCAGTCGACCTCGGGGAGGTCAGGGGACAGATTCTGATGCATCCCTCGCCACCGATAGCCATGGCCGGGAATCGATTCAGATGGCCGGGTTCGTGGTGCGGTGCGCTTCCCCCGTGCCCGCCCCCCTCACATGGATACATCACAGAATGTTATACAGTTGTTTATTTCTTTAACCTCATTTCATATATACAGCAAACACTATGTTGTACATAAATTACTGATAATACTGTACAGCATAATAAACATCCCATGCAATTCCACGATTGTATTAGAACTAACCGCAGATACAAATACTTGGCTGTGAAGTCTTGAATATGGCCATTTACCCTGAACGTTGGTCAAATATATGTACGTCTCAAAATGTAATGTTCGATCCATACTTGTAGTCAACGTGTGGTTTTACAAGCGGCCTGATCGCACGCGCGTTCAGGCGTTCACATTCTGTCCACGAGCACCTGTTACAGACGCAACCTAAACACGCAACAACTCCCCCAGTTATGTACCAAGGCCGTGTGTTTGTTCGTGAGACAGTAGGAGGTATGTTGAATGTATGTTTCATGTTTAATTGGGGGCGGTTGTGTCGCGCTATGAACACGGCAACCCGAGTTTGATTCCCGCTCATGGCCAACACCAGTAACGATTATCTGAAGCGGTCCTGGGCCTCCACTAGGTCGAGTCAGCCTCAAATGAGTACCTGGTTCAGTGTGTAAACATCACCACTGGGAAGACAAAGGCAGTCGGGCGTGGTGCTGGCCACCCACCCCTCGTGTGCCATACCGGCCTTCATAGGTGCTTGCTAACAGCACTTGCCCCAACAGTCTGTCCAGGCTATACGGGGGATCTTTGTCTTTGCAGGAGTTAACTTGCAATAAAACACTGGCGACGTCGCGACTGTGACACCACTAAGAGACATTAAAGCAGCGCTGATGTCACCAGAGGGCACCTGAAAGTCACTTCGAAGTCTTTGTCTCCAGAATCGTCTCCCCTCAAGGATGGCATGGCACGTGGAGGGGGTTGGTGGAACATCTCCGTGCATGCCCGGCCACCTTTGTCTCGCGGCCAGTGGTGGACACACTCCCCGACAGCAGCAGCAGCTGCTGCTCGTTTTAGTCTGAGTCAACATAGGGGGGAGTGGTGAGCACACTGGCCTTGCGATCCAGAGGTCGCCGGTTCGATGTGAAACAATGAGGCGGTGTAGTAAAAGCAGTGGGCTCCACCACAACCGTGCCGTGGGGTAAAGTGTGGGCAACTTCCATCTCTTCTAAGACATCGGGCCAAGCGTGCAAGAGTGGGCAACACACCCTCTAGATCGAGTGGTTCTCTAGAGCTCATTCAAAGTGGAGGCCCATCTGCCAGCAGTGGCTTGAGAAAGTAATTTCAGGACTGCGCCTTTATTGACATTGAGGAGGCCCAAGTCCACTTCAGTACTTAATTGTGACTGGTGTGTTTTTGGCCTGGAATCAAACCGAGATCAGCGGATCCGTAATCACTGCAGAAAGTATTACACAAATACACTGTCGCATATGCAGATACATAAATGCGCGCTCATACACAGAAACGTGGTGCATACATAGCCATGTGCATGGCTGTCATTACACTTGCCTTGAAGTCGAATGGTTATTGGTTTAATATCAGCCTCAGTGGAAAAGTGACAATTTAATCGGCTGTATTAAAAATAAACTTGCATGAGTAGCAACAGAGCACTGCTCTACCATAAAGACCATACACCAGTGATACACATCGGTGGCGAGTGGTGGCACAGTGGTTAGCGCACTGCACTATAACCCTAGCAAGATGACTTCAATTCCCCTCCACGGCTGACATCGGTGGAAAATTACATCCGAGGCGGTATTGGGAACACCCCTTCACCAATCCACACTGATGAGCGTGGTGAAGTATGTCTGGTCAAATACCTCCATGACATACAGGGCGTGGGAGGGCCTTCATCCAGCCATGAGCTAACAAAGCCTAACAATTATTATGAATATACATTTGTTATCAAGTGATTTTGTTTTAAAAATAAGAATTTAAGCTGTGAACATCAGTTTAATTTAGGTAGACAAGCCCATAATACAATCTGCTCACTACTGTGCCACCACTAAACCCCATGTTTATTAAATCAAAACTCACTTCTTGAATTTTGTTGCTGTGCTACGTGGAGGTTTCTGTTCTCTGTCTTGGTTTGTGTTGTAGGAGGCAGCAACATCTTGAGATCATGAACTCAAGGGTATGGGTTCAATTCCAAAACAAGGCACTTGACATTTTGGGCAGGATATTTTTTATATATATAATCAGATGATCGTTGGTCCATCGATTTTGCTGTCCACCCAACAGTAAAATGAACAAAATCATGAAGTCTCTTGCGAGGTCTCTTGCTGGCGGGGTAAAGCGTGGGTACGCCACGTCTTGTAAACAACAGAGGGCAGTGTTGGGATAATTTCCCGTGCAGTGGCGATTTGAAGCCATCGGTGTGCGTTGGCATCGGCGTCATGCCCAAGCAAGTTTCAGCATTATCTGAGCAACAGACAAAATGACATGGCCATTGATTCAATATGAACGCACAGTTGGTATTAAACAGTAATTTTAAATTGTTCACGTTCATTTCTATAACCCAAGTCTCTGCAATAGTTACGAGGACCTTGATGATTATATTTGTTTTTACCAACGCAATTACGTTGAACATACCTGATTACATCAGTTCACGTGGAGGTGCTAAAGGTGGATGACCAGTGACCGAGAGCGGCCGTCACCCAGCAGTGGTTTGACCGTGGCTGGGTCTCCCCCATGTCTGAAGACACCGCAGGGATGTGACGCTGCGGCGTCTTCAACATCCACTTCACAGCGGACGACGGCGATGGTTAACACCAACCCCGCGTGGCCTTCCTGATGGGCGCAACATAACGTCGCGTGTGGAAACTGTGGATGGGCAAGGGGCTGGAGGTTAGGAGCTGGGCCCATCACCACAGCTGCCGCCCGGCAGAGCGACGCCGCTCCGTATCTCTCGGCCTGAACGCCGGGCCCTGCGGGCCCCGTGAGCCCCGCGGGCCCCGCGGGCGCCGTGGCCGTCGCCGACGTGGGGTGCGACGGACGTCGCTCGTGCGGGGCACCCTCCCTACACGGCCGCGATGCCCATGCGCCGCTCGGCCAGGCACAGCGGCCGCAGCTTCCCCTCGCCGGTCGGCGCCTCCACGCGGATCTCGGGCACCCCTGACGGCCCCGACGCGGCCGCCGTGACCCTCGAGGAGGCGGAGGCCGAGGAGCCGGAAGAGGAGGCGCTGGGGCAGCGCGCCGGCTCCCCCGTCGTCGTCGCCGCCGACGACGACGGCCTCCCGGCGGCCGCGGCGGCGGCGGGCCGCGCGGGCGCCAGCCACTCGCGCTGCACGTAGGTGGAACGGGTCCTGGGAGCTCAGCGGCTTCTTGGTGCGCAGGTAGCCGAGCAGCACGAGCAGCAGGAAGAAGCCGTAGAAGGAGACGAGGATGAGGATGTAGAGCGTCTTGGGCTGGTTGTCGGTGGCGGAGGTGGCGGTGGCCGATGAGAGGCCCTGCATGTCCGGTGCGGCGCCCGGGCCCGGAGAAGTGTGCCGAGAGGCGCGTTCCGTTCACCGCGTCCATGTCCGCCGGCGCTCGGCTGCAACGCACGGAAAAACGGGTCGTTAGCGTGGAAGGTGGGGTTCAACGAAGTGGCTTATCATGTGGACATTTAGAGCATCCAAATACTCTAAATGCGTGATGTTCATTCTAAATGTGGAGGGAAAAACCAGAGGACCCAGAAAAAATCCACGTGACCACAGGGAGAGACAGAGACAAGCAAACTCCAAATACACAGCAGCAGATGTCAGGGTTGGAATCGAACCCACGATCTCCTGTATACCAGGCGAGGTAGTTAACATCTCCTAGCCACCGTGGCACCCTTGGAGAAAGGGCACTAAATGAATGTCAGCTGGCTCTCACTCCGTGTTAGTGGAGGTTGGGTTCGCACGTTGGGTGCTTGAACTGAGCAGCCGCGAGGGAGAGGCTGCTCCACCTGGCACACCTCACGAGAGGCAACTCCACATTCCCATTCCCACTGCCAGGGCAGTGCTTCCATAGCACTGCTGTTGACTTGCCACAAATCGATAGCGATTTATCGACTAAACAGAATTTGAATGAGCAACCCTCCTATTTATAGTGGGTTGCCATTAGTAGTATTAATATTGGTATCGTAATTAATACAATAATTTCCAAGGTCTAAAAGAAAAAAAAATATATAGACGACGTTTCGGGCAATGACCGTTTTTCAGAGCATGTACATGTGCCCATTGCCCGAAACGTCCCTCTTATATAACTTCAATGTTAAGGCCCCCACCCTAAACACAGTGTTATCACGAATGTTTTGGGTTGTTTATTCATGCTACCAGTGCTGCAGTATCACTGTGTACTGCTGCTGTTCGCGTAGCGAGTCACTCGGCAATTTATACGCCATTTTACGATTTTATTTAAGAATCAATTTGTTTTTCACAGTGCGGTGAATTTAGCGGCCACTAGCGGCTTACTGGCGTCCGATGAAATAATTTGCATTCGCCATGTACGAAACACCAACTCTTAAAACCTCGATACGACGATACTAATCGATGCAACGTGACACGATGGTTCACTGTGACGACGTGTAACGTTGCCGGATGGTAAAGACAACAACAACAGCTCTGTACCGTGCTGCCAACAGCATTGGTCCACACTATCACAGAGTTCACAAGGCACACTAAGGGTGAACGTCGTCATCATCAGCAGCCATTGTCTATCCACTGCGGGATGAACGCCTCCCCCCCCCCCACGACCTGTTGCCGTTCCTCGCAGGTCAGCAAGTGGTGCTCCCGTGCGTCTCACTGCTGCTCATGAGCTCATATCAATCGCCTCATCTCCCACGGTGGCTGTCCCCCCTTCTTCACTTTGGCTGCGACTCCCATCACCAGTCACGACAGCGTCCTGCCCGAGCCGTTTAGCTCCCCTCCTTCCTGCTCAACCTGACGACTCGGGTTGGCGTTCGCGCCCCGGTCCACGCGTTCCTCCGTCTGCCTCTCGCAGTATTTCAACTTCGTGAGAGGTCCCAACAACGCGGAAGATCTTCGGCCATGAAGCTCATGAACAACAACGCCCCAACCGCACAGACCATGGCATCATCTCCTTGACGATGATGATGATGGTGATGATGATGGTGATGATGATGTTGCACACGTACGAAATTACAAACGGTGGTCACCACCCAGAACAGAACCGCGGAACTTATTGCGCGTACTCAATCTCGATTCACAAATGCGAAGGGGGAGGGCATCATCACAGCAGCGATGTTCAAAGTCCCGTTCTCCTGACGCGTCCATCTGGCTCGGGAGCCGAGTGTGGCTCTTCAAGGACTGCTCCGTGTCGTCATTCTCGTGCATTGCGGATCTTGGACTATTGAGGGTTTTTTCACGAATTAAATAAATAATGGCTCTTGTGATTTTGGTTGCCGACCCCTGATCTGGCTCAGCCGCCTCGATATCAAATTATAATTGTTGCTCGACATCAACATCGGCCGTTCGCAGGAAAGTGTCATTCACAGCGGGCATCTCTCCGTGCGTGCACGAGTCGGCACAACTCACTGCTTGCGATCAGCTCGGCTCATCGCTAACCCGACTCTCTCTCCACCCGTGTGTGTCCATCCTCACTCGCGCCACTCAACTCCTCACCCTCACCCCGTGCTGCTAAACTCTGGAGCTCACCACCACCACCCTCCTCCTCACCCTCACCCCGTGCTGCTAAACTCTGGAGCTCACCACCACCACCCTCCTCACCCTCACCCCGTGCTGCTAAACTCTGGAGCTCACCACCACCACCCTCCTCCTCACCCTCACCCCGTGCTGCTAAACTCTGGAGCTCACCACCACCACCACCCTCCTCACCCTCACCCCGTGCTGCTAAACTCTGGAGCTCACCACCACCACCCCCCTCCTCACCCTCACCCCGTGCTGCTAAACTCTGGAGCTCACCACCACCACCCTCCTCACCCTCACCCCGTGCTGCTAAACTCTGAGCTCACCACCACCACCCCCCTCCTCACCCTCACCCCGTGCTGCTAAACTCTGGAGCTCACCACCACCCTCCTCCTCACCCTCACCCCGTGCTGCTAAACTCTGGAGCTCACCACCACCCTCCTCACCCTCACCCCGTGCTGCTAAACTCTGGAGCTCACCACCACCACCCCCCTCCTCATCCTCACAATGAACCCCGAGTGAACCCGCGGGTGGTCTCACACTTTGTGAGTTGTATGGATTCGGCACTGGAGCCGTTGTCTCAGTCACCGTCTCCTTCGTCAAGCGAGGCATGTGGCAGTGCGAACATCAACTGGCGGTGCCGATCCAGCAGTGAGAATTCCACATTCCCATGACCGGGACCAGTATTATCCTCAGAACCACCGCTGCTGAACTTCCACAAAAGTGGCATTTTATCGATGCGGTAGTGGAGGGATCTCGTTGGACCCCTCGTCAATCCACTGCCGGATGAAGGCCTCCCTCCCCACGCCGATTCAGATATCACCCACCACTTTGCGTGAGCCGTGGCCGGGAATCGAACTTAGGTCGCCGCGTTCGTAGCGCAGTGCGCTAACCGCGGCACCTCCGCTCCACCCACGTCAACACTTATGAGTTGTGTGGAGTAGCGGAGGATAACATTTGTCAATGCAAGAAGCGTGTTTTATAAATTAACGCCTTCATACGGTGCGAAAGAAGTTCAACACACTCACCGACTGATGAAGGAAAAACCTTTACCTTACTACCCGCTTCCAGACCAAGCCATCTCCATCGCGAGATAACAACGATGGCAGCTCCTGCCTGCCGACATGATCCACCACACGAGCTTCTATCAACTTGGTCACCTACCCACCTGCGTAGCTGCATACCCACTTAGATGCACCTGTAACGATCCGATGATATCAGACATCTCGAGATATCCACCTACTCACTAAACTACATACCAATGTAGCTATACTGTATGTCCATCTCGCTACCCACTCATCTACACGACCCTTCGACGCAAGTACCGAGACAGTAGATATGTAACAACGCTCACTCGAACACCTACCGACATGCCCACATAGCGACCCACACATCTGCCTGTCTCATCGTCCACCTTACTCCACACACATTTGCAGAGTCCACCCGCCCGCCTACTCATCCACCTCCCTTCGTGTGCGTTTACCCATCTACCCACGCCAGCGAGTGCGGACGGTGCGTGGTGGTGATGGTGGTGCGTGGTGGTGAGTGGTGGTGCGTGGTGAGTGGTGGTGCGTGGTTGTGAGTGGTGGCGATGTGGTGGTGTGTGGTGAGTATGTGGTGAGTGGTGGTGTGAGTGGTGGTGAGTATGGTGCGTGGTGGTGAGTGGTGGTGGTGGTGCGTGGTGGTGAGTGGTGGTGCGTGGTGGTGAGTGGTGGTGGTGAGTGGTGGTGCGTGGTTGTGAGTGGTGGCGAGTGGTGGAGTGGTGGTGAGTAGTGGTGGTGAGTGGTGGTGGTGAGTGGTGGTGCGAAGTGGTGAGTCGTGGTGGCGAGTGGTGGTGAGTTGTGGTGGAGTGGTGGTGGTGAGTGTTGGTGCGTAGTGGTGGTGCGTGGTGGCTCTCTCGTGTGATTGTGGAATCATTTCGCTCACCTCTCTCCGTGTCTGCTGCTGCTGGCGGTGGTAACGAGATGCAGAGAGACAGCAGCTCCAGAGGAGACGACAGCAGCTCCAGAGGGAGACGAACAGCAGCTCCAGGAGACGCGGTCTCGAGGTGCAGCTCGTGCAGGCGGTCCCCACTCAAGAACGTCGGCCTACGAGGGACCCCTTTCCAGTCGATTCCCCTCTGGGCTCTTTGTCCTCACCCCGTTAAACGAAATGAACTTGAGTCTAAGGCGGAGCTTCTCCAGATGGCGTCTTTAAGACGGAGTCCACCCAACAAGTTCCCCGGTCGCGTTCTCCAGCCCTGCAGACGAGATGCTTTAAGGGTGCTCCTCCGATGTCCTCCGATGTCGCTCCTACAGAGAGAGGACGACCTTTCGTGAGTCGGGCAAGGTCGTCTGGCGTCCGCTGCTCCTCCGCGGCAACCTTTGTACCTCTCCCCGAGCTTGCACGGACGCGTTGCCTGGAGTTTGCTCCCCGCGAGGCGCGTGCTCCGAGCTCTCGGTGTGTGCGTTGCGCAGCTCCCCCAGGGCTATTTAAAGGCGCTCCGACTCTGAGGGCGCATCGCGTCACTGCCGAGACCCCCTCCCCGGGCCACCGGCCAACAGCTGGCCAAGCTCAAGCCGCAGAGGCCCCAAGCGGCTCAAGGGAGACGCCGCACTCATGCACAACTCAAAGCAGAGGCGCGTGCGATATATTAGCTCAAATTAAATCCTGACAAACTAACAAGGTAATTAAATTAACATAACAAGCCCATTTATACGGCTCGACTGCATCTTACTAAATGTATCTCATGCTCACACGTCCTTTGGATTGCACTCTCATGGTGCTCATCTCTCATTATCGCTGCTGTCGTGCGAACACGCGGGCATGATGCTCTTGTGCGGCGACGGAAGCTCATCCTTGCTCATCTCCCTCCCTAATCCCTCTTTCCCTCATCCCTCTGTCCCT